GGGTATCGGATAATTGGTTCCTCGGTTAATTGAAAAAAAATTGTGCAAATTTTGATGTGCAATTAACCGAAATATACTGTAATATTTATTATAAATGCAAAATTATTTTGAATATTAAGTAATAGTAAAGCATACCTTAAGAATAAACGTTTATTTTTTGGGATAACGCAAGGTTGTATTTGAAATTATCTTGATTTAGCATAGGATTCCGAGGAAGAGAGTAATTTTAAATGTCGAATATATTCGACTAAAACACTGAAAGGGTTAAATCGAGATAATGCACATTATCACGATAAAAGCTGTGTTCTAAACGCGCCTACAGATTCAAGACTTCGAGCAGCCTCTTTGCGATTGTGTTATAAAATAGTATATGGTTCTGTAAAAGTGCCTTTGATGTTCATTTAGCAGTCATTGTTTTTTAACAATTAGAGCATATGCTGCTATTTTTGTTATTATAACAGTATTGCACAGTATAGTGTTTACGAGCGTTTTTTAATATAAATTACACTGGAATCCTGGTCTTCAATTTGATGTAAATGTGTTTTTTTTTTTTTGTTTTCTTTGAATACCAAGAATTCGTTTAACATTGAAACTGCCGAAACATATATAAAATCATTATGGCAATGCCACAGCGTCGAATAAAACTGTCACTAAATTCGGCCGTGCTGAATAATGGGAATACTTTATATTAGCGTTAAATAAAGAAGGTGATGTAAAAACGGCGGTTCATGGAGGTTTATGAATACACTAAACAACAAATGGCGTATCCGGCATTTAAAAACGACTAAGTAGCAGTTCCGTGCCTGTTAATATGAGTATTTATTTAATTGAAATGTGAATATTTTCTTATTAAATACATATTTTACTCCGTATAACATTGTGAGAGGATATAATTTTGTAAGAAAATTCTCAGCTGTATTGCTTAAGTAAGAAAGCCAACATTTATATATATACCCATTTATATTTTGGTTGGCCTTTCGAGAATATAAAATAATGAGAACACTCGCTAATAAGAAGACGATATAAAGAGCGGTTTAATGGCGATTTTGCATATTGTATCCAATAACGTTTGCTGATTGTAACAACGCTTACTCACTCTATGTCATGGTATAATAATAGAAGGTAACAGCAAGTGTTGTTGTACAAAAAACGATACAACAACCACATGGAACTTTGTTGTTGTAAGTTCTACTAGTGTCAACTCATTTGGCAGAAAAATGTAAACAAACAAACAAATTATCATCAAATTATTTTTATTTTGAAAATGAAATATTTTCGAATCCTCAAAATAAAAATTGAAAAACATGAATGAAAATCTATCAAATTTATATTCCTATCGCTTCCACATCTTTCCTATAATTGAGCCATTGCCACTTATATGTGTAACACAAATGATAATGCAGGGAATTGCGAGTTATTACATGAAGAAAGTTTTGCTTCCTCAAACTTTCCCAGCAGGCAGATTGAGTAAATTGAATACGTGAACACATTTAATAAAGAACAATTACAAATTATATGCGTTCTCAATTTTCCTGTTGGGTGATTTTTAAAAACATAATTTGTCAAATTCATATTGACACTAGTATTACGTTGAAATCAAATCAGCTGGGATTTGCTGTTACCTTTTATAATTGTACCATGACTCTATGTATTGTAACAGAACCCTCTAGTGGTAACTAGTTGAATATTATTGAGTATGTGTAGGATAGGTAGATGGTGCTGTTTGATATTTTAATTTTATATAGCGACACAAGTTGTAAATAATGATAAATGACAGAGACGACGCTACATTTGGTACGCAAGTGGAAAATGCCTTAGGGAATGAAAGCCCGTGGCGAGTATATTACCCTAGATAACGCCAGATATTGTTATACCCTCCACTATAGTATGGAGGGTATATTAATTTTGTTTTCCGTTTGTAACTCATCGAAATAATCATATCTTGATCAGCGTAAAATTCTATGACGATATAGCCATGTTGTAAGGGATTACAACTATATAGCCATATAGCTAGAGTGATTACAACGATATAGCCATCTGTTGTAATCGTCGTCTTTTGTCTGCAGGCAGGTCAAGTTCGAAGATGGGCTTTATCGGTCCACGTTTTGGCATAACTCCCATATAAGGGTACCCCCCAATTTTCGGTAATTTGGGGTTCTTGGGCGCGTTTTTCAACCGAATTCGCAGAAATTATTACATTGGGTCCTTATTGGGTACTAAATGTCTCCACAAAAAATTCTAAACATAGGTCCACTTTTTCTGGTAGCCCCTATATAACGGTACCTCCTAATTTTTCGGGTTTTGATCGTATTTTTCCGCCGAATTAGCTGTAATTTAGTACATAGAAATAATAAGATGGGCAAAGTTTGGATGAAATCTAAATTTTCTGAAACTAATTTGGTCCAAAGAAACATGGGGTCTAGAACCAATATTTAGATGAGGCACATTTTCACCCTCACCATAAGGCTGAGGCTATATTTATCCATTACAAATTTCTGAAATTTGTATTATGATTTACATAATCCGTTTTTAGAAATGTCGGTATAGGTCCACTTTTTGGTATGTTCCCTATATTCTCATTTTTAGTACCTGTCAGTATATCTATGGTGGAGGGCATCCAAAGTTCGGCCCGCCCGAACTTAACGCTTTTCATTTGTTTTTATTAAAGTCTTGTTGGAAATATTTGATTGGGGAAAAGAAATGTATTATTTTTTTGTGTAAATCATTTTTCTGATTTTAACCACGACAGGCCTACATGTGCAAGGTGCATATTTAACGGCAAAAATTCCTGAACGAAATCTACGAAACCAAAATTGCACATAATTGGCTGTTACAGTATCGGAACCATTCACAATTTTAACCGCTTGGCTTGCATTTTCGCCTGTAAAATTCACCGCATTTTCTCTTTGTTCGCTTCTATTTTTAACACCCTGTAACTCACAACTGAATTTATCAGTACAGTCATCTGCCCAAAAAATAATGGATTTCTTTTTCCCCAACATAATATTTAAACATGTCTTAACATGTCTTAACATGTCTTAACATATTATGCTGTTGTCACGGAAAACTTTATGTGCCAGAGGAACTAATTAACATACACACCAATATCGACAAAATTTTTAGTAACATTTAGTACTAAATTTAGTACCATTTAGCAAACATTAATATAAATTTCCATAAATACCCACGTCAACAACCCAATAGAAATCATTTTTTTCAATTTCAATATTCTAGCCCGATCGGTTCTTTTAATCCAAATAGTACCAAATTTTGTACACATAAGTAGGAATTCTAAAACTTCATACTCCATCTTAATTTCAAACTTCAGGATTCCATTCCTATTTGTTCCCCAAATCCAAATTTAGTACGATTTAGTACGGATTTCCAAAACTAACTCAAAATGTCAGCCCTATCGGTTCAGACAACATTTAAATTGTATCAAATTTAGTACCAAACTGCCTATATCATACAAGTAATAGAAATCTTATTTTCCAATTTCAGATTCCAGCCTCATCGGTTCACTCGAATGTAGACATAGAACCATTATTAGTATGAATTTCCAAAACTTCCTACATTTTACAATACTACACCAATCAACAGCGATCCTATCTCCTCATTTCAGGATTTAAGTTCTATTGTTTTGCCCAAAATTCAAATTGTACCAAATTTGGTATCATTTAGAACACATAATAATGAATTTCTACCTCAATTTTATAGTGCTTACTTATTTTCAAAATTTAGTGTTCCAGCTCGATCAGTTCAACCAAATCTAAATTGTATTGAATATAGTACCATTTAGTACTTTTCAATAAGTACAAGTACATAAGTACAAATATACAAAACTAGCTGCAAAATTCAATCCTACACTCCGACGGTAATGTTAATTCAGAATTTCAGGATTCCAGACCCATCCGTTCTTCCAAATTCAAATTGTAACAAAGTTAGTACCGTTTAGTACTTTTCGTATACACACTTCCAAAACTATCTTCTTATATCGATCGATTCTACTTCTGAGCCTTGATTTGGATTCCAAATTTTGAGTTTTTGCTCTATTACGAAATTTTAATAAATTTTGTACTTTTCGGATACTTATATTTCGAATTTCCCTTTGGTACATCTATCTATCAAATTTCAAGCTTTACCGGTTCGCCAAATGAAAGTGATACCATATTTAATACATTTCGTGCTGAAATTTGTACTAAAATTTTCAAAAACCCAGCCTTATCTGAAGACGATCCAAATCAACCGAAAAGCTGATTATAATTATAATTGAAATTTGTTATTGCCAAATAGTTTGGCTTAACCATATATTTAATTTAAATTACCCTTTTTAATAATTAATCTAAACATGATACAATATTTTTAGTTAGTTCTTTTTATTTATTTTATTGCAAAAAAAAAAAACAACAAAAAATATACATTGAAAAATATAGTTAAGAGAGACTTTATTTCGAATATCAACAATTCCATCTTAGTTACTCGTATATATATAAAAAAAACACATCTATTGTGAGATAATATTGATATAAGTAGTACAGTAAAATATACATACAAAAAATAAATGAGATTACAATATTATAAAAAGAAAAAAAAAAACATAACATAAATTATAAAAAATAAAATATTAAAAAATTAAAAATCTATATATTGCAATGTTTAATATTTGTTCAAGGTTTGTAGTTTAATTGTAGAAAAGTTTAATAAATGACTAAACATTTAAAAACACAATTTTATTTTTAACATGAAAAAAACAAAAATATATTATGTAGTTTTTTCTATTGTTTTTTGATTAATTATTTTGTTTCACTTGGTTTAGTTTTTATTGCAAATGTGCGATCATTTTTTTGTTTTATATTTTTGAAGTTAAATTTATTTAATTATTTACCTATTATTTATATATAAGTTTTAGTTTTTTTTTTATCATTTTACTTAATTTGTAGAAAAAGTAGAGAGTTTTATTTACTTTGTATGCAGTATATGTATATAGGGAGAAGGAGAGTGTGTGTGTGTGTTTGTTTGTTATTCCATTAGAAAACTATTATTTCGTTTTAAGTTCTATTTCCGCTTTTTTGATGCTCATAATTTTCTAATGCTTCGATCTGCTGCTGCTGAATTAAGTTTTGATCTGTAAAATATTTAAAAAAAAATGAAATGAATTAGAAAAAAATTTTAATTTATATTTTTAAAATTCGAACAATTGCTTGCAAGAAGAAAACAAAGCGAACAATTATTGCAAATTGTGTTGGAGGTAAATAAACAGCCAAAAAGTGGAAAAACAAAGAAGTATTTATTAAAAAAGTTATATCATGAAATAATAAAATGTTAGCCGAAAAGGGAAATGTTGTACAGCACATGTGCTGCACGAGATACAAAGAACGTATTGGGTTTATAGGAAAGATTGAAATTCTATGCTATGTTTACATCGTTAAACCAGTGAGCGGCGCAGTATAGTCGGACGGGGCAGACCATATGATACCCTACACAACTTCCACGAAAATTTAACTTTGTGTGGTTCTATATTCTGATCTTGGACAATATATTCACTCTATTGACCTTCAACGTCCGTTATGTTCTTATGTTCGGCTTTCAATTGTGGTCTATAGATCGACTCGAAAAACACAAAAAATTAAGTTTTCGGTCCACTTCATCCCAGTATTATTTTATCATCACCGAAAATTAAAGGCGTTATCCTTGACCATAACTGGAACCTCATGAAACATTTCAAAGCGATCAGCGCTATAATCCACCCTCTAATGTGGTAATGGGTTACTAAATAATATATGAATACGTAAACACCTGAAAATAATTATTTGTAACTCCCACATCCGAGTACATAGGACAATATAATTGGTATCAATTTAAAGGTCAACCACTCCTCTTGGATATACTATCAACTTCTCGGGTCTATGTCCTTCAGTGGTAAATATATACGCTATAGAATACAAATTTGGACATTTTTCACACAAATGTTAGGGTCCATTTGACCCGCTAAATATTGAGCGATCTTTATCAAAACAGGCATGCTTATTCTTTGGCCCAATCCCCTTCTCCATGCGGTGTTTGGGCCATAATTGCGGCCTCTGGAGCGACCAGAAAAACCGAAAAAATAATGTTTTTGGTCCATTTCATCCCCTAAATATTAACCGATCTTTTCCAAAAACAATAGGGGTCTTCATTGGCCAGAACCCATCCTACATGTAAAATTTCGTGAAGATTGGTTCATAACTGTGGCCAGTATCGTGTTTACAAATTATAATGGACAGACGGACGGACGGACGGACACACATGTCTAGATCAACTCAGCTAGTCGAGATATGACGATCGGTATAATTAAAGGTGGGTCTAGGACCAATATTTCGCGGCGTTACAAACTTTTGGGGCTGCACAAAGCTATAATACCCTGACAACATAGTTGTGTAGGGTATAAAAAACAACACTTTATAAAATGTTCATTTTTTTCGAAAATATATTTTACGAAAATTGTATATTTGACAATTGAAATTTATCGTTTTTACTAAAACGGTGTACAGACAATCGCTTTTATATGCTACATTGGTCTGAATTTGGTTGCTTGATAGTGTGGGCGATATGACTGATGTAAACATAGGCTAAAAGCGAAATAATTCTCAGTATTAATATAAGAAGACAATAAAACTTGAATTTTGTTATATTGGAAAATTTTTTGGTTTTGGAAATGGTTTTAAGCGCTTCGCAATCAGAGTAGAAAAAAAGTTTTGAAATTTAGTTTGAGAAGGTGTAAAATTTCATCGATATTTTGTAGGAATATTTAATCAGTATTAATATAAAAGCAAAAAGCAAAATTTTAGTAAATTATAGCGATATAGTTTATTATTACCATTAGTATAGAAAAAAGTTTTATTTTAGGGATTCGTTAAACTCACAGATAAATTTAAAGATTCAACATTATATGTATGTACAATTAAAAAAAACACATTAAAAATAAGAAATAAAAGGAAACAACAAAATAATGTACAAAAATTAGTTTAAAAAAAAAAGTTTGAGGTAAAAAAATAGTCTAATCAAAATTACTTCACTACCCCAAAATCTGATGAAAAATGTGGCAATATATTTGACCAATTAAAATAATTTCAAACTTCCTTGTCCAAATTATAGTCACGTTCATATATAAGAGGATCATGTTTGACCGACCAACGATTGTCTAAAAATAGTTTTGTAATTAAAAAGGGAAAGATTTCGATTTTCTGAACAAAACCTCAATTTGTGTCTCGATTGCACTTTTCCATTTGGATATATTGAAACCAAAAATAATAGGACCAACATTTTTTCTTATTTCGGAATATACATGATTGCATGAAATTCTTGAAGTTCCATATTCTGATCAAGTAGACGAAGTTACATTGCACTCCAAGGGTTTTATAATTCAATATAATTCAAATATAATTCAAAATAATTCAATACAACATTGGAGAAACACACAACAGGACGGTGTAATCTAATTTCTATCCTGGCTCTAGTTTACAATACGTCGTAATGGGTCAAGTTATTACACTCTAGTTGAAAAAACTTAAACGGGACTTTTTTAATTTTTTTATTCGCAAGTAATCCGATATGTCAAATTATAGCCACTTCCATGAGAAAATTCGGTTAAAAAATAATTATAAAAGATGCGAAACTTTATGCATCACACTAATTTGTATATAAGTAAACCTTCCAGGACACTTTATACCTAAATAGAGCCCCATCGGTTGGGAAATGCGGCAGAGGTCTTCAAAATACCTAAAAGTGGAAGTGGTAGGAAGATTTGACACCTCATAAGAATTTGATAAATCAAATTAGATCGAATTCGGTTGAAAAACATGCCCAAACCTTTATATCTTTATAATTTTTGCCAGGGTGATTTTCAACTCAATGAGAATTAAAAATATAAAATTACAGCAAATTTGGATGAAGTTTGAAATATAGCGTTATATGTGGTATTCCATAAAAACTAAACGAATATTGATCAAGCTTAGTAGGAAGATCTGAAAGCCCATGATAACCTGAAAATCAAATCAAAAAATCCAATTTAAGCCAATTTGCTTCAAAAACATGCTCAAACCCCCCCAAAATAACTGTATGGGGGCTACCCGGAAACATAAGCCAATGTTGATAATATTTGGAATGGAAATTTTCTACCTAATGACCAATATTTGTCATTTTTAGTAGAAAGATTTACTACCATACCACAACCCAAAATAACAAATTACAGCCAATTAGGTATCGTGATTTCAACAGACTGGCGGACGGACACGCATGCATATATATTCAAATTCGAAAATTATTTTTAAATAAATGTAGTTTGGCTCAATTGGATAATTTTAGTGGGAGTTAGAGAGATTTGAAACTCAAAATTTTAATATTTTAACATGGGGTATGAACCTTTAGTGGTTGGGGTAGTATATGATCAATCTCTATGAGGTCCTATTTTTTATTTATATTTAATAGATCATCATATAAAGTCAGACTTTTTAAATCGAATTTTGAAAATTTCTCGTGTTTGTTGTAGTATAAAAATTAATATTAGGTTGGGGAAAAACCAATCCATTATTTTTTCGTCAAAAATGTCGATAAAATCGGAGAAATTATCGAAGTAGACCGGCATGTTAGTAGTCGTAACATCGCCCAGGAGCTAAAAATCGACCATAAAACTGTTTTAAACCATTTACACAAAGGTGGCATCAATTAACAGAAAAATAATAGGATGGATTGAATTTCCACTTCTTAAACGGATGGTAACTGGAGATGAGAAATGTATCACATACGATAACCCAGTGCAAGAATGATCGTGAAGCACCTCAAACGGTGGCCAAACCAGGATTAACAGCTAGGAAGGTTCTGCTTTGCATTTGGTGAGACTTCAAGGGGATTATTTATTATGAGTTTCTTGTATACGGCCAAACGCTAAATTCTAATTTCTACTGTCAACAACTGGGCCGTTTGAAGATAGCAATTGACCAGAAACGGCAAGAATTGGCCAATAGGAGAGGTATCGGGTTCCACCAGGACAACGCTAGGCCACACACATTTACAGTAACTCGCCATAAACTTCGGGAGCTTGGTTGAGAAGTTTTAATGCATCCGCCATACAGTCCGGACTTGGCACCAAGCAATTATCATCTTTTTCTTGCATTGTAAAATTTTTTTAATGATAAAAAATTGGTATCTAGGGTTGATTGTGAAAATCGACTACTAGAGTTTTTTGCAAATAGAGAGCAGGACTTCCTTTAAAATGGCAACAAATCATACAACAAAACGGTGCATCGAACATTCCAAAGCATGTTAAATAAAGTCCTACAGTACAGTTTATCTAACCTAATATTATTGTTCACTTAGTTCAACAATAAATTTCTGATCTAAAAACACTTTGGAAATTGGAAAATCCACCTCTGCACTCGCCTGTATATAGTTATATTCAAGGTGGTTGAAGATCTATTAATTTTTTAAATATCCTACAGAAATTTTTGATTTTTTCTTTGTAGGAATTTTTTTATTATTATTTTTTATTGCAATTCATTTATACATTTTACTTTTGAAGCCCCAGCGCCAAAAAAGCTTTATAGGGGCAAAACTGGATTTCAGAACCGTCATTGATTTCCACCCCCATTATCGAACGGAAAACAATATGTTTTACATATCTTGAATTAGAACCTCCTTTTAAAAATATGTATTCTCATAGCAAAAAGAATTTTCAAAATTAGAAATTTATTCATGCTGTTATTTCCTTAAGGACACGCAGCAAAAAACGAAAACAACGCAGAATAAAACAATTAATTTAACGTCAACATGTGGACATGCAAAACAAATAACGCTTACCCATTTGCCTGTTAACATTTATTTTCATATATCAAGACGAATTATTGTTTCTATCTAAAGCTGTACCTAATTTCATAATATACATGAATAAAATGTGTCGTTTCTCTTTTGGACACAATACACTTGGCGATACTCGTAGTAAATAGTTAAAAATGTTATATGAATTTCATTAAGATAAAAATTACAAAAATATTTTTTGGTTTTGGGGGGAAAATTGTGAAGAAAAAGCTTTTAGAAAATTTAAGATTTTTATGAAAAAATTACGCTATGTTTTATTGGATCCATTCATCCTAGAAAATTCATAATTTTTATTGGGAAGAAAAATGTAAAGAAAATACACAGAGTTGTCATGATTTGATATTGATACATTTTTTATATGGCTAAGGAAATGTTGTAGAAAATATTAAGAAAGCTTTGAAGTTGAAAGAAAATTTAAAGCTTTAATAAAACGTATAGAAAACTTTTGATAATTATATAACAATATGAATATTTTAATTCAAAAAAGAATTGAAGAGAAGTTTCATGGATATCTCAGATTTTAAATATTATAAAATATGGGAGTTGAATCTTAAGAGAATTGAATTACAAAAAATGATTAAAATGTGATAAATTTGGTCACAAGTAATGCAAAAATTTTGGAAGAAATTTCCAATACAAGTAGCGTGATAGATCAAATATTTTCAATTTGAATCGAGAAGATTTTTTAAATAAAAATGCAAATTCTACTCATTTAAATTTTTATTTTTTAAACATTTTTATCGATTTTGAAATTTGAAGTTAAAAAATCTGAGATACTCATGTCCTGCATATTATATATTGGAACATATTGTGATTTCAAAGGCAAATAAAAATGTGATAAAAAGCTTAGAAGAAAATATATTTTTGCAATTTTTTTCGTAGAAATTCATAACCTCAAAACATAAAACTATTTTCATAATACTTAGCAAAAAGAATTACATTTATGTATACAAAAGAAGCTATCAAAAATCAAAAATGAGCTTTCTACACATAAAAAGCTTTCAAAACTAAAGAAAAATAATCATATTAAATATTTTATTAAAATTTTAGTGTGTGTACAGTTGTACTAAAGTGTACAAGAAAAAAAATAGAAGAGTACTTTAAATTTATTTAAAAAAAAAATAATAATTAACTGAAAGTTTTTTTTTTTGTTTTATTTAGATATATTAACTAAATGTAAATCATTTTCTGTGAGTACCGGAAACGAGGCCCTTTATAGGTTTATTTTTTATTTATTTGTTGGCAAGACACAAATGAATATGTTTGAAATTTATTTGTTTTTAATAAATGAAAAAAGAAAGAAAAAAGTAAAATATTAATATTAAATATTAGATATACTTCTTTTTTAATAAAAAGAAATATAATATGAAAATTAAAATTGTTTATAAAAAATTATAATTGTATATAAATAAAATTATAATGACAATAAAATGTGACAACAACTACTTACAATTCCATCGAGAGTACAGTTGGATTGGGACAGGCTTGTGGTGCACGGACATGACACTGTTTGTGACAAATTAATTGACAGTCACGACACTCATAACCCTGTTTGCCAGGTCGTCGGGGTATTGATTTCATACATATCGAACATTGCAAGCCACCGCTATTGGAAAATGTTTTGAATATTTTTTTATTAATTAAAAATAATTTTTTTTTTAAGTGTTGTAACTCACCCGCTTAAATGCTTGGCAATAAAGGTGTGATCATTGTAGATGTGCAATTTTGTTCCCTTACGGCGCCATCTGGGACGTTGTGCGATATTTAGAGGCACAATGAAGTGTCTGTAGGGGGAAGATAGAAAAATAAATAAAAACATTATTAAGTTCGCCGGTGACGATCTTTTTATACCCTCCACCATGAGGTCACTATTCAAAATTTCCAATTCCGGTCGGAACAGAATTTTAGAATTGGTTCGATATTATCCGATTCACTCAGAAAGAGGAACTAATTAATTCATTTAGTTCCATAGTTCATTTTAGTTCAATTGTTCTTTGGTACACATCTCTTAATATGGCCAATAGACGGAAAGGATGAACGATTAAATCAATAGAAACTGTGTGAGCAAAAGCAACAAGATGAGCAAAAGTATCGGACCTAGTAGCTATCGTTCCTTTTGCGAAATAATTCATGTGAGAATCGGATCTAGCTTCTATAGTTCATTTTGCGGAATAGTTCTTTTGAACTAGTTCTTTCCGGACGATTAAAGTTGTGAAATGGTTTGGTATTTTCCGATTCGCCCAGCAACAGGCGCTACTTCATTCATTTAGTTCCATAGTTCGTTCATTAGAACACATATTTTAATACGGTCAATGGAGGAAAAGGATGAATGATTGAATCAAAAAAACTAGGTCAATTTAACAAAAATGAACGCCTAGAGCAAAAGGAACGAGATGATCACTCCTTTTGCGGAATAGTTCACTTGAACGATCAAAATACAGAAGGAACTAGATCAACAAAGAATCGGTCCTGATACGTATCGTTCGTTTTTATGCATAGTTAATTTCAGAGAAGTTAACACCAAACTAGATGAACGGAACAATTGGACTTAGTACCGATCTTTCCTTTTAAGGAACTAGTTCATTCCGGAAAAATCCAACTCGAATATGGGGTCTATGTAAATAGTCTCAAAAAAATTAGATACAATATTGCAGAGGCTCATGTAGAAAAATTCATTCAGCATACTGATAATGGGGGATGGGAACTATATTATAGTTCATACAGGACAGTATCTACTGGTCCTTTGCAGGTTATGTTAGGGGCAGGCTCCCTTGACTTGGAGGTGATGCGTAGAGCTATCATCTTTAAGATCAAGAAGGGACTGCCGTCACCTGAAATTGATTGGATTTACATATCTGAACTGAACGGGGATATGAGGAGGAACAAGGAATTGGTAAATAAGAATCTTGTGTATAGATGGCACACAAGATGGAATGAAAGTAGTAATGGCTTACGTTCGCCCTTATCAAATTTTGGTCTTAGTCTGGGTTATTTACTGACAGGGCACGGTTCGTTAAATGTACTCTTGCATAAGCGAACTTTGTGTGACATTTAGGATTGTGGGGGACCTGAGCATGCCATGCACTTACTGATTCAGTGCATGTATTATGATGATGTTAGAGACTTGGCCAGAATGGGTATTCACAGTACCCGGGACGGTTGGGATTTAACAGCTTTGGTCGTGGGGGACGAGACATATGTGGCACTTGAGGACTAGACTTAGCGGAGGTGAGTCTCTGCTAGTGTATGGTCCTGTTAATGAGCTGCATTGGCGTTCCCTGTGCCGGCTCATCATTCGCCGGCCTTAGGAGTGGTCAGTTGGGCGGTATTGGTGTGTGGCTCCATTCCTGAACTAGGACGCTTGTGGACAATTTTTGGGAGGGATGAGATGCATGTTGGCTTCCAATTTTGTAAGATGTTCGTGGTCACTCTTCCAGTTCAGCGATTAGTTCTAATGGCAGTAGCTTTGACTATGAAGCTGGGCTATAGTCTGTGGGTGACCAGTCTCGAACTGTTTGGGGTTCTACCAGGGACGTACGCAGGGGCGAAATGAAAAATTTTCACGGTAAATTTATGTTTGCAACAGCGATTTTTTTCATTTTGTACTAAAACATTCAAAATATCGAAAATGGGACGATATTGTTATGTTATCTGCAAACATGTTTATGATCAAGAACCCGGAAGGTTATATTACATACACTACCATTAGGAAAATACGGCAATTTCGAGGCGTTGCGAACGGAATATCATCATGGTGGAGGACACAAAACTCAAATTAATTGTAAATATTATTGTAACTATCCCTTTTTGGTGCTGAAATGTCATATCAATCCTGTGGTTTTAATTTTTATACTCTTAACTTACCTCTTAATGCCATTTTCAATGGTCTCCAGTACCAGTGTGGATGCTTCGTGAACATAGGTTTTTGTGCTGGCCGAAGAGAAACCTGAGATTGCTGAAGACTCTGAAATTGAAGAGCGTCTTGAGTGATCTAAAGTGGGTGACATGCCCGAGCGACCTTTAGAGATACCCCCGAACCACCACACACAAATACAATTTCAGATTTTAATACAAACCAAATTAAAAATTTTTTGGCAACAAAATGGAATTACAAAAAAAAAAAAAAAACACACACATTGGGAGAAAGTACAAAAAATATTGTGTGCATTGATTTGTTGACAAAAAATTGGGATAAACAAAAAATAATAATAATAAATAAAATAATAATACAAATACAAAAAAAAAATATATATTTGTTAAAAAACCATAAAACCAAAGTTATATACAAAACCATAAATGTTGTTGATGTAGTTGTTGTTGTTGAAGGTTTCAGTTGTCAGGTAGAGTTGAGGGGGACGAATTGTGTTGTTGTTGTTCAATTTCAAAAATAGTAGCGCCAGGGGTGCACACCAAACCAAATAAAAATATTAAATGTATGTTTTCATTTGTTTTTTAAAAAAATATGAAATGAAAAAGAATTAAAAATAATAGAAAAAATTAATAATAATAGAATTAAAATTGTTTAAAAAATAATAATTATTTATATAAAAAAGCAAAACGTTTTCCCCGTACAATAATTTTGATTTTCAATTTATTCACCAAATATTTTTTTAAATATTTAGCATTTATCAGGTGTATATAATGTGTGCCAGGTGTAGTGATATATATTTTTTGTATGTATGTGTGTATATGTTTTGTGCATGGTGATGTGCATTATGGCATATTTTGTTTATATGTAATACATACAGTTAAGTTTTTTTTGTTTGTTACAGAGATAAACATTTAGTTGAACATTTGAATGTGTATGTGTGTTTTAAACATTTTTATTTTATTGTATGTGTGGAAAGTTTTGTAGAGTTATGTTGGTTGTTGAGTATTTTATTTATTGAAGAAGAGAAAGACATAGATTTTATATTTTTTGTTGTATAGAATATAAGAAAAGAAACAAAAGGAATAGAAATTAAAAATTACACACAGGAAAAAGGGGAAATGAAAAAATTTTAATTTTTTGAATGAATCAATAAACAGAAAAATTACTAGGGTGGGGTATATCCAGAAAACTACACAAAATTGTGATGAATGTGATAACAAACAAAATAAGAACCACCATAATGTGAATATGACTGTAATAAACTTACGGAGAGAAGAATATATATAAAAATTTTGGTTTTGTCTCCTATATAAAAAAGTCGAAGATCTAATCCTTATGATATGATTGTGCTTACACCATTAGTTCAAGAAAAGCATATGCCTGAGACACAAGAGGGACTTTATCCAAATATTTAAGACACAGGAAGTCTTAAAGGAAACGCTAGAGGATAAACCTCTAATAATTAAAATACTATGAACAAGTTATGTCAAGCAATTTAAAAATCATGTTCCGGATGGTGGCAACATTTGAAGCCATCACCCTGCTCAAGTAAAGTTTCTCACCAACTAAGACGCAGTGCTGGTAATTCGCATGGACAAATTGGATAAAAGCTTAAACAAAAAATAATTATCGCAAAATTCGAAAAAAAAACCATGATAGAGGGACTGAAAATAGAAGACAGGTATTAGACATTTTTTCTCCTTGATTTTGATTTTCGAATTTTCGTCGATTCTGAGGCATATAGTAAAACTTTATTGCCAACATATGTGTTGAATATTCTGACCTGCTATAACCCCATTTTAAATGAATTTTCAATCATTTCTGGAAAAGGACACCGAAAATACCCCTTCAAAGGGTCGACTGAGCGTTATTAGACATACATATTTCTCACATTTATATCAGTAATACTGCTAAGGACATCATATATGTAAAATGAAAGAGTTTCGAGAAATAGGAATCCGGTTACCTCCCGACGTAAACATTCAAAATGACAATACACGTGTCTTCTATTTTTAGCCACTCTATCATATATTTTTATACCCTTCACCATACTGTGGTACAGGGTATTATGTCTTTGTGCATATGTTTGTAACAGGCAAAGGGAAACGAGATGGACACATTGTTCCTTTTGAGAATATGCATAGAATCACTTTTTAGGTCGATTTATGCATGTCCATCCGTCCGTCCGTCTGTCTGTCAATGATAAGTTGTAAAAAAGTACAGGACGCACTTATGATCCGAATTGGATGGAATTTGGCATTGGGAAAAATCGGTTCAGATTTATATATAACTCTCATATATATCTTCGTCCGATTTAATGTAAATGGTTCACCAACGTCTCAATATATCTTTCGATTTGCTCGAAATTTGGCATAGCATACAAAATTATGTCTAGAATGACGTGAGTTAAGTTTTCAGAAAATTGATTCAGATTTAGATATAGCTCCCGTATATATTTTTGTCCGATTTAATGTAAATTAACCAATTAGGTAGAAACATGTATCCAAAACAATCAAAATATCGAATATTGGAGGTCACCATTAGCCCCCATATAATGGGGCTATATACCCGAAAAATTAGTGAAAGTTTGTCGTAGGTAGATCTGATAGCCAAATTGAGCTCAAAATACCACAAAATACCACCACTACCCAAAAATACCGAAAATTTTGAGTGGTACCCTTATATGGTGCTAACTTAAAAAGAGGATCAATATTCATCGGTAGGACCAATGTGAACCAAACGTAGCAATTTACGACCAATTCGGTTGAAAACGTGTCAAAAATCCCCATAATACCGAATATATGGGAGTAATACCAAACCGTGGACCGATGTACCGCCAATCATCGTAAGAGTAATATCAATGTCAGTGTAAATACTGTGATCTCTATGGTGATTTCACCAAACAGGCAGAGGGCGGATAGATGGACAGACAGACGGACATGCATTAATCGACGTAAGGGATCGAGGCGTTGCAAACGGAATGACTGAATATACACTCCTTTTTATGGTGGAGGGTATAAACATAAACGGAACTAGTCTATGGGTAATATGCAAAGTAGTTAATGCTCTGATAGCACAAAATGAAAATTATTACCAAATCGGTTGGAAAATAAGTCCTGAAATTTTTCAGGACCCTTACTTGAGTGTGTATTTTGCCCTCTAAGGATCGGTGTGTCTAAAACTTTCAAAATGGATCTGTATTGATATAAATGAAATTATATAGAACGCCATCGCGAAATAATGGGTTATTTCCAGTTTAAGACTAATAATGTTCTATTCAAGACCCTCCAATATTCTGATAAAAATATCCCTCCTCAAAATGCTATCCAATCGCCAGATAAATGCTTCATAAACATAAATTAATATTTGTATCAAAATTATAAAAAAACAGTGATGTGGGGTGATAAATATGATGGCGCATTTTACAGTTGAAAAAATATAGGGGGACTAGTGATAGAGGTTGGTGTATTTTTGGGGATGGTGTGGAACATAGGTAATTACCAAGTGAATTGCTTTTGGACAAAACAGCACGATCGACAGATAATGAACGTGAATCACCATTAAGTGTTCCTGTTGGGGTTGTTGTTTGATTTGATTGATGTTGTTGTTGTGACGCCAAGGCGCCATGATCGGCCGAATGAGTGCGTGTCTTCGAACGGCTTAAACGTTTTTTCAAAGTACCAAAGAAATTGCGTTTCTTACTGCGGCCACGATCGTCCAGATCGGAATTTGGTGGCGAGGACAGCGGTTGTTGTTGTTGGTTCATGACACCATTGCGAGGTAAGCTGTTGCTCGAATAGCCATTATTTGAATATGAATTGTTATTGTTGTTGTTGTTACTAGGTGAATAGCCACCCATTGAGGCACCATTCTGTTGATAATTGTTGTGACCATTTGGCGAGGAGGCAGCATTCGGTTGACCGTACTAAACACAAGTAAAGAGGGGGTAAGGATTAGAGAATAACATAAGGATAATAAAGAGAAAAGAAGAAAAAGTGCAAAGCCTTGAAGTAACTTCATGCTTATTTTTTAGTAGAAACAAAAGAAAGAACAGAACAGAGCTGAATGTTTACACGCAAGTTCCAACAACTTTACGTGCAAGTGTGTGTCTGCGCCATTTGTACTTACCTCTGTGGTGGAATCTCCCAGAGCACTATCGTTACCTGTGGTGTTATCTAAGGACGGTTTTTCATTTAGGCACTCGGTTTGTGGATACGAATCAGTGGGGCTAGCAGTTATATCTGTCGTCACTGATGTATCCTGTGTGATTTGTTCGATATTCTCTAAGCTATCGATAGGCATAGTTGTAGATTCGTTTGTCGCCTCCTGTCCAGGGCTTTCCAAGGCCTTTGAGACGGCGGCATTTAAAACATCTTGAGATTCTTTAACTTCGATTTGTCCATCTTTATTGACTTCGACCTTTAGGCAGTTTCGGTTTTAATTTAAATAGTAAGCAGGGTTAATAGAAGCGCAGAGTATGCGTAAACGTAACGTAAGTGATCGTATCGAGACGTACACGCACACATAACAGTATTTATTTTTTATACAAAACAAAATACAGGCCATGAAAAGAGAATTGTTTAACAAGTTAGCATTTGAACCAGTTCTAAATCTAAAGTTTCTAAATGCAAAAGTTTCTAGTTATTTACAAACTAAAACTAAAGAAAAAGAGATAACGAACGCTCTTCATCTTATTTCACCCAGTGATGGATGGATCAGTGTATGAAGAAGTATGAACGCAAATTAAATTTAAATTGTAACATAATTTAAATAAACGAAATTTGTTATAATTTTCTTTTTTAAACTCAATGAACCAAAAAAGAAGAAACTCAAAACGAAACGAAACTTTAATAAAATATGTTATGAGCGTTTTTTATGAGATTTCTTATTTTTTTTTAGAATTGTAGAATTTACCTTAAATGCATTTGGATTGCTTGAATTCTGTTCGAATGATGGTTTTGTGCAAAATTACGATAATGCAAGGACGATGTTTTTTGGTGATAATATCATGAACAGTTGTCAGGAGTTGTAGGAGTTTTGGGTCAAACGTAATGATACAGCGAGTGCAGGATGCAAAAAATAATCATGAAAATAAATATGAAGAAAAAATATATATTTATAAAAAACCAATATTGTATTGAAATAAAATTTGTTCGAATTTAATAAAATAAGCTATATATATGAACGATAAATATGTTATAAGATCGATAAAACATTCTTTTTTTTTAAATATAAGACACGATTTTTATTTGATATCAATTTAAATTTTAATATTTTATTTCTTATCTAACAACAGATTCACAAATTATTAGGTTAAACAATAAAGTGTGACTTAAAAAATAAATATTTTTTTACCCATATTATTTATTGGATATTAATCAAATGTATATTATGTGCCAAATTTTGTACCAACCATAGGAAAGAGGATGTTGATTATCAATTAGTTAACATCTAAGCAAATTTATTTTCAAGTGTTCATGTTTTGAACATGATGAAATCAAAACAAATAAATTATTACTTCCTATTCGTAACTGTAAAAATATGATGTAGTCTATCTTAACTATAGTAAATTTCATAGATCTAGCAAAATTATAATTTTCACTTAGTTGAACTTCCTTTAAATATTACAATCAGCGGTGGTAGAACGTCTTGCAATGGAGCAAGTACTGTGGGCATTTCATATTGAGAACTAAAATAAAAAGCAATTATACATTCACTACTTTTGATTGCACCTCCTGGTCACTAGACAGTAATTCTAGTGACCAGTTGGAGCAAAATGTTTGTATTAAATGTATAATTATACTCTCCACGATAAGGTGGAGTGTATATTAAATTTGCCATACCGTTTGCAGCACATCGAAATATTCACAGGAGACCCTATACAATATAAATATTCTTGATCAGAATAAAATTCTATGTCTACTTAGGCGTGCCCATCTTTTTGCCCGCCTGTCTGTTGAAATCACGACAGAGATCGCAATATTTGAGATAGAGTATTGAAATGTTGCACTGGTATATCGATCCACGTTTTGGTATAGCCACCATATAACGGCACCCTCAAATATTTGGTATTATATTTTTCACGTTTTTTATCCGAATTGGTTGTAATTTGCTACGTTTGGTTTTCATTGGGTCTCAAATCTTCCTACCGAAAATGATTTATATTGGTCCACTTTTCAGGGTAGCCCCAATATAACGGTATTTTCACTTTTGAGGGAGTCCCCCATGAAATATCACATCCCATATTTCGGTTTTCGGGGAACTTGGACATGTGCTTCAATCATAATATGATATAAAAGGTTCTGGAAAGCTGACTTATAATAATTTTGCGCGGTGTTTATGTTGGTACAAGTTTTGATGAAACCCTACATAAAAGTTCCGCTTCTTTTCCGGTATTAATACATTTTTAACGGAATTTTCTCATGGGAGTGGCTATAATTTGACATATCGAAAATAAAAAATTAGAAAATAAATTATAAAAAGTCACTTAAAAAGTTTTCCAACTAGACCGACTGCAATTTGAAACACTATTCTTTGCAGATCATGAACAGCCTACAACTACATAACACAATAACATAGTTCCCATGTAAATCGATCGGTGGAGGGTATACAAAATTCAGGAGAAGTATCACGTATAGACCCCATCTTCCGATTTAATGTTAGTAAAATATTACGATGTACAATCTATGGAAGCAATCCGATACTCCATTTGAAATGTACAGTTTTCAAACGTTGACCCTAAAGATTCAACCTCTGACTAGATCTAGATTTCTTAAACTATTACTCCATTCGCTTTGTATTGGATTAACAAAATTATTTACACTTTATTTGGGAGGAATCAGAAGGATTAGACCGATGGATGCTATCATCGGATCTTATCTAGGTTTGGTAAAAATATTCTGATCATGTACAAGTTTTCATTGTTTCGCCACTTTGTGTGGGACTTGCCAGAAACGGTGCGCGGATTGGTTCCATCTTCGAAAAATATCTAGGTTTTACGATGTGTATAGTTTGGATTAAATTGGAAACTCGCTTAACATTTAATTTACAAATTTTCAAAATTTTGGCAATGTGGACGTTGCCATTTTCAAACATCATACTGGCTTCGTTGCAGTATTGGGTTATGCAATATTTGATTCCAATCGAATACTCTATAAAAACGAATCGGGTTCTACAACATTTTTAGGGGAGGTACCCGAAGGTGTGAATTTATATTTTCCATCATCGAACTAGATTTAAGTTTGGAAGAAATATTTCGAGAGTTATCATGCTCAACAGCCAGACAGATAGACGGGGTTACATTTGTAAATCGACTCTATATAGAAATATTATCAAGGAATGGTGGGGTCTAATACCGATATTTCCTCAATAGTCATAAGGCTGAGAGCATAGTAAATTCTATCTCCTAAACTTTGAATGTGGATGCAACACTGTGATTCCATCAAACACTCGAATTCATAATGCCCATATCGTTGTCATATATTGAAAGTACAATGGTGCGTATAACTATTATCAATACGTATACGTCGCAATTACAGTTTTATATTATTTTGCAAATAAATGGCTTTAATAATGGACTTCACAAATATGAGCGTTTGCTACGATTTGGCCGAAATTCTCGCACCTAGTAGTGCAAAAAATATTTACTTAGTTATGTTGCCGAGACAGCGTTGATCGAGAAGTGTATAGAATATTGATGTCGTCCAGGCGTCCATAGCAACCGATACAAATTAGCCAAGTTGTGCATCGCCAAGGCCACTCAAGGTTTTGGTTTTTGGTTCTCCTACACGATAAAGCTGGCTTAAGTTGACCAATCAAGCGACGTACGAGCTTTGAATGGACTTTGGAAAGGATTTGAATAAATAAGAAGGCCCTGGTTTAAGCGGATGTGCAAGAGCTCACATTGTCATGGTGCATAATGATTCGTCTTTTCCTGATCGTTTTTATAAAGACTTCATGTGAACAAATTGTAGTGCATCGCTCAGTATTGGGCGTCCTATATTAGTACAGCAGAACTAGCTTTTGTTGCGAATAGTTTTTTTCACGAGCAACATTTGCTGGATTCGAATCGTGTTCGTGACAACATAGCCAATTGATGTTTCTTGTTCTTGAGCAATTATTAAATACTGTGGCATTCAACCGGATCAAACCATTGATATAATACGATATGCCACGCATCACGCCATTCGGCGAGCATTGACAAAAAGTGTGTCACGATTGAGATACATCCATTTTATTGGCCGTCACAACACATGTCTGTACGTCAAACTTTACTAAATACATTAATGCTACAAATGTCAAACTTTCCAGTCGTAAAAATCGATTTTGTTTACCAAGCCTTAATATCAAAAATTCAACATTTGAGACCAGTGTCGTATACGTATCGACAGCAGTTATACGCCCTAAGATACTAAATTATTGTTGCCTTGTTTTTGTAATAAGTTAAAATTACTTGAATTGTTTTTTCGCTGTAAATATTTAAACTGTTTTTGATAAACCAGTAACTAAATTATATCGGAGGACAACATACGACTTTTCTCAATGAGCTTTTATGAATCTGATAAGAGTTTGGATGTGTCCTCCAAAAAGGCATAAGTGCATATTACAGCTATTTAACATATTTGATTTTAATAATTTTTAACAACTTTAAATAAATTATACTACACAAAAATGCCCCTAATATTATTTCTTATACTTTCAAAACATTTTATCGATCTTTTTTATTAAAATCTTATTCTAAACATAAATAATTTCACCAATTCCACCAACTCATCCCAAAGATTCGATTTCAACTTACCCTCTGAACACTATGGATTATCAATGTACTCTTACTGGGTTGACCGTTGGTATTTAATGCACCCTCCTGTAAGGCGCGTACAGCAGCATCAGCCAAATTCGAACCATTCTTCATGTGCTCATTTATACTCGGCGTACTAATGTGCAGAGCTTCTTTCAGTTTATATGGTCTAGGGCCGGCAGGTATTTCGGCACCTTCAATGAAAACAAAGTCAACGGTTATGGAACCGGAGACTTGTTGTGTTTCATAGGGGCGTGGTTGCAAGGCTAGTACCTGCGTTGAGGCAGGGCCCACGGCCAATTCATCAATGCCTACCAAACCCAGGCCCAAAAACTTGGGAGCTTCTGTGGCATCAGCAGGACGATCATAGACTTCAAAGAGGATCTCGGCAGATTGTGGTGACAAATCGCTAAAGGAAAACAATTATTAAATATAATTTTTAATTTAATAAAAATTAAAATTTACTTACAATAAGAAATGTTCATCCCAATAGGGTTGGTTGCCCTGACGGGCACCGGTTTGATTCTTTTGTGGCGGCTCATCCATTTCAACAACAACATAGGGATCACGGGCATCCTTCAAACCTTCGCCCTTGACAATTTTAACCAGCAAACGACGACCCGATATCATTGGCGTTGGTCCCTGGGAGCCAAAGTCCATGTTGTTCTGAATACGTTAAAGTGTTTTTTTTTAGGAAATGTAAAGAACATTTGAAAATGATTTTAATTAAGATGTGCTAAGCTAAAGAGGATTGGGGGAATTGAGAAAAATGTCCATCAACAGAGGAGAATATTTCACAAAGAAAATAAAAAACCTAAAATATGCCTTTTGGGATTTGAAGGAGTTTGGGTTTTTTGTTTTATTCAAAATTTAAATAATACATTTCACAAAGGACAAACAATCTTGGGTTTGTAGTTAGCAAAATATTGAAAATGTAAGTGAAAAATTTTAGTAATTGTAATAATATTGAAGGTGCCCCTGCAAAATAAGAAAATAAAAAACAAAAAAGATGCGAAAATTAAAACAAAATTTGCCAATAAGTACCAATCTATGGAAGTCGTGTTCAAAGTGTGAAATTTTAACAGAAACAACTCGTTGGGACAATAGATTATTGTAATAAGGTTTTATGTTTAGCTTTGAAACATTTAGGAATAGTTTTGATGGGACTTTATACACAAAAGTGTAAATTGTAAAACTGTATGTATTTGTTAAATGTATATATTGAAATATGTATGTTTATAAATGGACAGACATTCATATACTGTTGAATTAAACAATTTCCTATATGTTATATTTAATATAATTTTAAAATATGGATCGTGAAGTAATTGTCGGTACTCTGGATCGTATGACTAATGTCACAACGTATACTTATTTACGATATCGTATTGTATTCATATAAAGATCGTGAAGTGACTATGGATGCTCTGGATCGTATCACTAATATGAAAACGTATACGTAGTTACGATAAAGTATTTCATTCATAAAAAGATTATGAACATTCGTGATTATTGATAACAGACTCATTAGATATCAAACAAGATGTAAAGCCTACAATGACTTGCCAGAAGTGGAAAAAATATATTATTTCTATATGTTAAAGGATAGTCTGAAGTCCATATAAATTATTTCTTTAATTTTTTCTAAGTATTCGAAATATCACCACAACTTCGAACGTATTTGGGATTTGTGATTTTTATAGATACTTTTGGATGGCGTCTTATTATCCTATAAGTGATTAAACATCGGGTCGTAATATATATATATATATATGTATATAGCTGAAAAGTTGTTTTTTTAATTCCTCCGAATCTGTGATAACCATTTAACTAGACATATTCACCTCTTCTATAAGGATTGCCGTCAGTCGTCTTAAAGACACCTTTCAGATTGTCTATAAAGACTGCCTTTAACTCGTCTTTAAAATATCTATTCAGCTGGCTTATTAAGTCTACCATAAGTTCGTCTGTGGAGGGAGTCTTCCAGCTTCCCTCTAAAAACTTCGTTTAACGTCTAGGTAAATGGTTAATAGCAGAAAATCAAATATAAGACTGTCGTCATTTACGGGAATGAAAGCAATGTAATCAAGTATATACGCCCAAATTGGTCGAGTATTGGACTCCAGACCTTAAATATCGAAGACGCAAAATTTGAGGCCAGTGTCGTATACGTATCGACAAGCGTTATACGCCCTAAGGCACCTAATTATTTTTCCTTGTTTTTTTAAGAAGTTAACAAAACTTGGAGCAGTTTTGTCGCTGTAAACATTTAAACAATTTTTGACGAACCAATAACTAAAATATCGACACTTAAGTAACGACGAAAGACATATTTTAGGTTTTTCACTGCAGTTGAAATGGTTTTGAAATGTTAAAAATTAAAAATATGTAAAAATGTTTTTGTTAAAATATTTGAGGGGGTGGTAAGGGATATAGAACATAGAGAAGTGTTTTGCTTGTAGTATTTTAGTGTAACCATTACATAAACTTTGAATTTGTTTTTTTCCACTTAACATAATTAATCTGTACACCACACACACCAATTTAAATTTACCAACATATATGTGTAACTCTCAGTGTAATAAACAGTACAAAATGTTCTGTAAAGTGTAAAGGTTCCAGGTTTTTTGGGCGGGGAAGTTGGAAACAAAAAGAACAAACTTTTTCCGATTATTATGGAAAAAAAGAATAAAAGTTATTAACATGCTATGATTTGATTTATCCCAAGATGGATAAATACGTAAAATGTCGAAAAATATATGCATGTGTAGGGAAATTGATATCAAGGCAAAATTGAAAAAAAAAACTCTGCTTCTCAATGTTCTTACGCTCACCGCCACTGTTTCATATGGCATTGGATATATTACAGGTAAATCCATAGGTTCAACTTCAGCTCGGGGACAGGTCGTGTAAATGGAGAAATCCACGGGATATATGGTTTCACGTAAGGCACGTGTCATCATTTCCGAGATGGCGGCTTGAACTTGTGTTTCCTCTTGGTCCATGGGCTTAATGGCGCCAACACTGTTCATGGAAATGCGGATCTGTATTAAAAAGATTGATACAATAAAAATGTTCTTCTTCTCGAGGTGTCTGTGTTTTATCTTACATCTGGGAAACCTTCAACACGCATATCACCCTTCAATGTATTGTAGTTCATGGCATTGGCAATGCGAGCCCTAAATCTGGACACAGTCAGCTTGTAGTGAGATGTTTCAACCTTTCCAGATTTCTGACGGAAAGCTTTCACTTGGAAAACGGGCATGGCATCACAATCGAAGGTGATTAGCTGTTAATTTCAGAAAAAAAAATTAAAATAATAATTGTGAAGTGTTGTGTTCTTAGGACGTACCATATCAGCGGGATTGGCTTCATCGGCATTACAAAAGATATTACTCAAGGCTGGTGGTGGACTGTCTGGCAGGACGCGTACAATTTCAACAGCAATGGGTTGTTGCTAAAAAATAAATAAAAAAAAATATTAATTTTAAATTAATTATTCTAAGTGATTTGTTATGAGATTTGAAACCTGCAGAAAAAAATTGAGTTGTTAACCTATCAAAAACAATCCTGATGAAATTAGTCGTGAGCTCTAGATTTATTACAACGTAAATAGGTAGACGGTGCCACACTCAAAATATTAAATTAAGGACAATTTGGTTGAAGAAGGCGAACAAAATCCAGAAGCTATTGCAATTTGGGGTGCACTGTTATATGGGGACTATCCTAAAAAGTGGACCAAATTTGATAATGTTTGGTAGGAAAAATGTCTACCCAATAATAAACTACCAAATTACAGCCAATTTATTTGAAATTAAAGTTTATATCTTACAATTTTATCAACAGCATGCTATGTTATTAAAAGATTTTAATTTTATTATTTTAAGACAATTTTTAACGACTATTTATACCCTACACAACTATCTTGTCAGGATATTATTGCTTCCAAGAGTTTGTAACGCCGGGAAATATTAGTCCTGGAACAAATTTTAAGTATACCGATCATATCTCGTATCTCGACGAGCTAAGTCCATCTAGACATGTTTGTCCGTCTGTCCATTATAATTTCTTAATACGATACAGGCCACAGTTATGGACAAATCTTCACGAAATTTTGCATATAGGTTCGGTTCGGACCAAAGAAGACCCTGGTAATGATTCGGTATGAAATGGACCAAAAACATTATTTTTGACTGTCCTTTCGGTCGCTCTAGAGGCCACAATTTGATCCGAACACCACGAAATTACACCAGGAAGAGAATCTGGCCAAAGAATAAGCTTGACTGTTTTATTTTTATTTGTTTTATTTTGTGTGACCTTTAAATTGATATCAATAACATTGTTGTATGCATTCGAATATGGGGGTTATACGAAAAGATTTAAAGATGTCTATGTGTTATGATATTGTTTAGAATAAATATTACCCCACTAGAAGTCGTAAATGTCGCGCTTATCGCTTTGAAATTTTACATGAAGGTCAAGAACGACGGTTAAGTGATGTAGAGATGATATTTAGGGTGCTATACGCATTAAAATATCCTCTGACACTGCCTGGAACTAGGTTCTGGAACTCAATTTTTTTGGAAATATTTTTTAATTTTAAATGCGAAATTTTTGATGACTATCTTAAAATAACTAATAATTTTCACCCTTTTCCCTTAAGAGCTTATGAACTTATATAGCCTACAAGGCAAACTACTCAACACCTAGATTTTATAGACCTATAAGCTTCACCTCAATGTTGGCATCGAAATCCTTAGGTGGCCCTCTAGCTGACAAGGCAATTACATAGCTGACAAGGCAATTACATTGGTAACGACATACACCAGGCAGCTTGTGGTATAACCACCAGGGTCTATGTAAGATGGGGGACAGCACATGGAGGAACATAAGTTGTCCCCTAAGGGACAGGACATGCGAAGGTTTTAATTTTAAAAAGATTTGATAATCAGTGAGAACCCAAAATATCAAATTAAGGTATTTGAAAAAAATTGTTGGGTTACCGTTATACGGGTTCTATAGGGAGATTACACAATGACAATTACAACTGAAAAAATTACAGTCATTTTGGTTGAAAAGCGAGCCCAAGCTCCTCACAATATCGAAATTTTGGAGGTAAAGGGGGCCTATCCTAAAAAGTGAACCCATTTTATTAATGCAAGGAAGAAACCCATTAGAACCAAAAATATCAAATTACAACAAATTCGGTTGAAAAACGTATTTACAATTCTCAAAATATCGAATATTGGGGATATCGTTATATGGGGTTATACCAAACCCCACGGTTTATCCCATTTTTAATGGCTAAGTCGACGCAGAATTTAATTCTTGATCAAGAATATATATACTTTTTGGTGTCTCCAGGGAATATTTCGAGGTTTTGCAAATAAATTTAATATATGTATATTCCACTCTATTTAAATCTAATAAATATTACATTCAAAGTCCCACAATAAAATATGCCTCTCCAACTCTCAGTCACGTAACTAAGGCTACTTCCAACTTTTGTTTTTATCAAGCATAATACCCAAGCAGACATATCCAAAAAAATAAATTAAAAGTACAAAAAACGTTTCCAGCTTTTCGTTTTCAATACTAAGGCCAAGGTCGTAATTTGACCAAACAACAACAACACATGTTCAGAAAAAACAAAGAGTCATTTATCGATAACTCTGTGTGTCGCTAAGCCAATAAGAGATGTATTGATAAAGACCAAAATTAACATACATGCATATATAATGAATTGCTGGGAGCGGGTTCATAATATTTTATTGCATAGTTATGAAGAGAAATATTAAAATTTTATGTAAATTTTAGGCTACCACCGAATTTCCGTATTTGGAAATTTGTGTTGAACTGTCTTATGTATTATGTGTTGAATTTGTAAAAAGCTTACGTAAGGGTTTTAAAATTCTTAAACTTAAATTCAAACATTTTTAGAACATTTCAATTAAAAAAATAACTTCCTAGAATTTAGCCACAAAATTGGTTAGACTACGCCAATGATTAATAATAATGTTTGTTATAAATTTGTATTCAAATTCTAGAAATCTAGTTTCTGGTTTTACGCAATCGAATATTCCAAATTAAAATTATACTTGCGGTTATTTGGTTTCAACGAGAAGACTTTGCAAACAAACAACTTGGTATAAAAATAGATATTGTGCGGAATTAGAAAACCAATAACAAAATACACTGCAAACATCAGCGAAGTGGACCAAATGGGATTTCAAGTACAAAATAGTTACCAAATTATTTCTTTATGACCTTCCAAAATAAAGTTATGTAGGGTCAAATTTGTGGTTATTCAAATTCTTATTATTCCCGTCGGTTTTCATGACCCATAACCATGTTCATAAATGTAATTAACAAGTGCCAATTTAAGCAATAAAATGTCAACAGTTGCTTTGAAACTTCCCAAATAAGTGACCAAGCCATCGCCATATGTTAGAACCATAAACCAAAACAATAGATGGCGAATAATGAATTGCTTTTATTTGAATGAACTACAACTTTCACTAGCTGGTTAATTGCCACACTGACTGACTGACGGACAAACTAACATTGACATCATTATGTGAATTGGGTGGCGCTCATGATTTTATGATGCATAGCTGTAACCATCCATTTTACGGCCATGTCACTACTGTCCTATTGTAATAACATCTGTATGCTGATTTCAAAGAGTATGTGAGGCACACACATACATACTCACATAGCTACGTATATACATTAACGACATCATGTCTATTGATACAAATTGATAACCAACGAACCGTGCGTCAAAGGCGACACAAAGAAACAATGAGTGTGAACATGAATGGAATCTGAATGTGGCACTGTGACATTGAGTCGAGTAGGGTTTTGTTTTGCTAGATTTATTTACATGCTTTGAAATACTCATTATTTTTTGAGAATACATCTTAAAATCTACGATGAATTGTAGAAGATATGAAAGAGAAAAAAAAAATGATTTATACAATATAATTGAAAGGTAGGACCATATATTTGGGGAGGGGTTTTATTTGGTCACGATATACGATAAAGCATTGATCTATATTGGAAAAAATTCTGCCACATTGAATATGCCCCAGGACCAATAAAATACCTAAAAAGGATCATAACTATATTCAAAAGAGTATCAAAAGAGGTCCAATATTGAATTTGTTTATTTTTTCCAAAAACACATTTACGAAAAGCCACATAATCAAATGAGATTGGTCATAAAAATCGATGTTCTTTACTAAGGTGTCTCATTTAGAATCGAGTTATTTTTTTGCAAGCTAGGTATGATTTTCACATATTACATCGGTTTTATTATTGCCGTGATATATTTATTATGTAGAATACCCCTTCGGGTTCTGTTATGGTAGCTACTCCTTTCCATTCAAATTTAAATTTTTACAGATGGGGGTTTTCCGTTAGCACACGTATACACGTTATGGACCAATATTCAAGAAATTTTTCATGTAGGATGCGTTCTGGCCAGTGAAGACCCCTTTTGTTTTTGGTAAAGATCGGTTAATATTTAGAGGATGATATGGACCAAATACTTAATTTAATAGCTTAATCGCTCCAGAGACCACAATTATGGCCCGAACATCGGGCCATAATTGGATCGGGGATCGGGCTAAAGAATCAGCATGTATGTTTTGATAAAGATCGGTCCTTATTTAGCGGGTCGAATGGACACTGACTTATGTGAGAAAAATGACAAAATTTGTATTCTTTGGCGTATATATTAACTCCTGAAGGACATAGACCCGAAAAGTTAACAAGCAATTAGAAGGGCTGTACTGAATATTGGGAATATTCGGAAAATATGTCAGTGTAAGGAAGAGGTGCTGTTGATCTCTAATCGGTCAAGAGGGTGCAAATATCACGAAACAATCGTCGACCTCGTCTGATTATACTGCTCCGTTCACTGGTTTTTAAATTATATTTTTCCATACATAAATACGTTTTTGAAAAGACAGGTCGAAAACTCGGACGCTTTATTTAATGATGCGGAGCATGCACTTCGACGGCAAACACCTTAAAAGATTTGAAATCACACAGTGGTCCTCAAGAATCTAATGATGTGGAGATCAGACAATCGCAGAAGGTTTGAAGAATGTGTAGCAGAAATGCGACAGTGCACTTGTGCAGGTTAAAAAAACCGCCGCAGAAAGTTCACTGGAGAATGGTTCTAATTCGGCTCGAAGGACCAGAGGCCCTGGTTATGCCAACGTTGCCACTAGCGGTAATTACATCGACTTTCGACTAATAGATTAATCGCCTTTTGGTATTGAAAAACTCAAAGTGCTAAATATTACACATTCCAGAACTTTATATTATCTGTTGATAATAATTTATATAAAAAAATCACATTTTTAGTCGATTTTGCATTAGTTTGTAAAAGTCGAAAATCGATTTTAAGCAGGTTTAACAAAATCGAAAGATCTAAAAGTCGACTTTGTAGTCAATGTCAAAAATTGAAAAGTCAAAAAAATCGACATTTTGGTTACAGTCAAAAATTTAAAGCTCGACTATGTATCCCTGTTAGCGACGGTGCGCCTGGGTTCGGAGTACACGTATGACTATGTCTATTGGAAGAAATTGAGCGGATTGATTTTTATTCGGCGGATATATATATATATATATATAAGTGAACATAATCGAGAAAGGCAATATAAAAAGTGGGTTTGGTGTTATCTGGGCCATTATCTATCTGGAAGGATTAAACTATCGCCGAAGGCCTAAAGAATGTGTACCAAAAATCGAGACAATGCACTTGTCCTGGTAAAAAAAAAAGTTCCGTGGTAGAAAGGCCACTGGAGAATGGTATGGATTCGGAAACTTAGGAACAAGAGGATTATCTTCGGATAAATAAATGCATTTTGTTATTTGGTGGAATTGTCCCTTTGGTTGTCAAAAGCACAAAAGAAATTGATTGTTCGACCAGAGAAATTGTTGCTCCAACTTATCAAGGTGACGTCAGATATCGGTCAGTTGCTCTTGAAGTATATATTAAAGAAGCCACAACAGATCATGCCTATCGAAACGTCCAGAAGAGCCAAAACGAATACTACCTTGAAGTTATACGAAGTATGTGCGAAGCTCAGACATTGATGCTTGCGCGCGTTTTTGGTCGACCCGCGTTTTACTACAATGGACAATATCCTACACCCACTTTTCAGACGGCATTACCCAAACACACTTTTTATAAATTTGAGACAACCTGACGATAGCCCTAGTTAACAACAAGACCCACTCAGAAATGAAGCAAATTAAAATCCATTTTTTCCGAAGACTGAAGAATACTACGCTGCTAACAACTCCTAGGAGTTCATTCAGCCAAGTTCTTTGTTCATAAAAGAAAATATTTATAATTTCACCTTCACAAAATCCACAAATCGCATGAAACCACAATGCACATTCATTGCGCGTTCGGAACGAATAAACAAATTTTCTTGTAGAAATGTGCACACATTGTTGAATAAAGAAATATGTTGTTGTTGCTGTTGCTATTATTTGTTTTGGTGTGATCGTAAATATTTTACATATTCATCACTGTCTGAATACAAAATATAAAAAAAATACTGAAATCAAATGAATAGCTATGATTTAATTGTTTATTAAAAATGCATAAAGAATATGAAAATTTACAACAAAAACAACAATTTGAAATGGAGGGTGGCAAATCAGTGAAGATGTTCATTCAAAGGAATGATGTTAATTAAGATTACATTCGTACTTCGTAAACAAAAATTAAGACGTTTTTGATGTCGAAAACAAGGCAGAAACTTCAATTTGTAATGACATCATTAAGGTTTGATGATGAAAAAAATATTGATTTTATTTTTGGAATTTTAAAGCAGAGGTGATGTCAGACTTAAAAAAATGTTTTTTATTACGAATTATGGCCTCTATTTGAATTGTTAATGATGTCATTAATAATATGCTATTGTTTGAAAGAACTGGAGAACAAGTTCGTAACATTTTGGAATTATATTTTTTATAAAATTTTGGTATCCACTAGCATTAAGCATTAAATTTATATATCCTCTCTAAATGCTTGAGTGGTGTTTATTTTAGTCAATAAAACTTGTGACTAATTTGGAACTTTTTTTAATTTTACACAGCTAAAAAAATATTATTTTATACCGATATGAATGATCATACTTTGGGTCTTTATGATTGATGAAATTTAAAGAACAGAATTTTTGGAACATCTGACATACTTTGAAATATTAAAACACTCAGATTGAAAAAAAAACGTTACAAAATTAACGGAATCTTTATGCCAATATTAAAACATGGACCTACACTTCCACACTCCAAGAAACCGGAATTGCAAACTACAGCCCCTTTGGTTATAAAAGCGGTAAAGACTCTAAAAATACAGAAAATGGCGCAGAACCTTTATATAGGGGCTATGTCAAAACATGGACTTATATCGAGCATATCGGACAAAGATATGTTGCACTCTGCAAGGGGTCCATATTACAGCCACTCCTGGAGTACAAATATCCTTTTCAATATTTAAGAAACTTGAATGCAAAATTAACGCTACATCAGGTCGAATAATGTTGCAAAGTCTGAAAATGTCGCCGCACCTTTTTATTTTGGCACTGTGTCAAAACATGGAACCATTCTGAAAATTTTCTGGGAAACAGTTTTTTATTCATCCAAAATATGGCATACCGGATGAATAAAAAGCGACTAAACCTTTAGAAATACCAAAAATAGAAGAAGACCTTCATAATAAGGGGCTATGTAAAAACACGGACCTATAATGAAAGTACTCTGCAAAGATATTTATTCAGCCTACGAGAATCCGAAATGCCAAGCACTGGTTGGAAACCGAATAGAATCTTATTCTGATCAATAATGTTGTGACAAATGACCGATTGGGGAGTGACACATTTCTTTGACTTGTCTAAATATTTATATCACCTATTCTATATAATCGACGTACGTTTTTACTGGTCCAATTTCAATTAGTAAAGAATATCGTTTTACTTACCTCATCAGTGTTTTTGCGTAGGGTATCATTTAAGGAAATCACCCAGGCCATAAGCAATTCATTGACAATAACCAAATCGCTGTAGAGCCAACGGAAAACTTGGCTGGTCCAGGTTACGGAAGTCTAGAGAAGAAAAAAATTATTAAAATAGGAAAATATTAACTTTTCTTTTATAGTTTGTACTGTCAAATATTTTTTGAAATTAATAGTTTATTTCTGTAAAATTCAAATGGAATGAATTCGAACGAATTACTACCTAACTATTGTTTATGTAAAAAATGTGTTATTCAATAAAAATATAAATGACATATTTTTCAAAACTTTGGTTCAAAATTTTACAAAAACAGGCTGTAAAATTAAAAAAAGATATATTTAATAAAAATCACACTCACTGTTTCGGGTCCAACAACATTTGATGGTGGTGGTACATAACGCTTTTTACGATTTTCCGGTCCGGTCGAACTCTGGCGCACCACACGTCTACGTGCACCCGCACCACCCATACCCAGACTACCACCAACACCGCCAATACCACCCGGGCCGGGGGTACGACCACGTCCTCCACCAACACCACCAGCCGATGGTTTACTTAGTAAATCTTTAATTTCACTTTTACTAGCCAAAATATCACGGGGTTCCGATAAACGCTTTTCAGTTTTAATACCGGCGCCACCAGGTGCAACACTGCTCTGTCGACTATTACTGGCACTGGCGGGCTTTTCTTTAACCATATATTTCTGGTATAAAAATTTACACAGCCATACTAAGAACAGAGCCAGAACGGCCCATATAAATATGAACATAGCTAATGAATCCATTGTTATATCACCAAGACCTTCAAATGTACAAATATAATCATCGATTTGATCGGCTAAATCCATAATAAGTTAAACAGCGTGGTGTGGAATTAAGATGATTGATGCATCATATCTGTAACGAGAGAAATGGAATAAATATTTTATTAGAAAAGTTGTTTAGAAAATAATTTACTTATTATTTCATATTAGAAAAAAGTTTAGAGGTGACAAATATTGTACAAAATAAGCGAATATTTGATGAAAATTTTTGATTTCATTACAAAGATATTTGTATACACAACTTTACTTTTTTTTGTTCTCGGACCTTAAAATTTTTTTTTTCCCCAGGAAAGCCCCTGCATGTAGATGTAATAACAGAGCCGTATTCTCCAGATCTGGCGAATAACGTGACACAAAATGAGCTCATGGCATATGGAATGAGGGATATTTTTGCAAAATATACCCTCCTTTGAACTTGGTCTATGCATGGTAATATATTGCGATAGGAGAAATCTGTATCAAATTCCGCACTATATTCCCATGATATTATTTATTTGCTACCTCAATCACCGGAAATCATTCTGCGATAGTCTTGATCTTCGAACTTTATCATGAATTGATCAAACAATGTCCAAGATTATGATAAAATTGTTACCCACCAGCCAAACGCATAAACAATTTTTAAATCATATCCGAATTATCTGATTCTGCAAATCTGGCGCCTAACGCCCTCTAATCTCAAAGGAATGTTGAAAGTTGAAAAGGTAAAACTGAGGATATTGGTCTAGTGTGGTAAAATATTGTGAGGAGTAAAATCTGTGTCAAATTCCGGTACAATTTAAATTTTGGGTGAACCTATAGTGCTGAGATCCTGAAATAGGTTTAGGTTATGTAGGAAGTTTAGGAAATCTGTACTAAATTTGGTACAATTTAAATTGTGGGTGAAGGGATAGAATCTGAATCCTGAAATCGGAAAATAAAATTTTCATTGGTTGTATGATACAGGTAGGTTTGAAAAATTCGCATGATATTCTTTCATTTGTTTGTCTTCGAAATTCATATCTTTTTTATATGAGGTATCACAGGAAGTATTCTCTTATAGTAAAATCTTAAAACGCAGTCAAATATTGATCAAACAATATTACAATGTGAAAAGTTAGGATAAAATCCAATCCCATACCCACCAGACAAACGCATTTCTATTTCTAAACCATCTCCGAGTTATCTGAAACTGATTGTTGGATCAGAAGTACGCACCAGCTGATTAGTACAATTTCGCTAAAAATGCTTGCTTAATGAATGGAACCTCAGCATTCTGTGTCCCGCGCACAAAAAAGGAGACATGAACCCTGTGGGTTTTACATGATTCTCGCCTCAACGGCTTTAACCATGGTGCACCAATGGTTGTCGAAATTGAGCGTCGACCAGCGCCCCATTGGAAAAGCCCAGAGTACTCAACGAGCACTCTGAAGCCCATCCGCCGGTACCAATTCGAAGATCCACCGCAAAGGTTCACTTCCTCCTTGGTGAGGAGTCGAGGACTACCTAAACCTCTTGTCTTTCTATGGGTCAAGCACCCGGTTGATAATGCAACTCCACATCGAGCCGAAGCACTTCCCGCGAAATCTTTGGGCTAACCAACAGCCACCACATTGCACCCTATAGGGCCAATCCCAATCGTCAGGCTGAAACCTCTGTTTCAGGGGCTCCTGACACCCGTGGCTCCGGACAACCTCCGGCCGGTACTAGTTTTTTGTCTTAAGTGACAAGGGAACTAGTAACCTCCGCACAAATCAAGCGTCTAAACCTGAACAGCTTCACAATACAACAGTATTGTTAAACTATTGCTCTGCGACGTCGGAACACCGTATTGGCAAATTCTCCTATGCTAGCACGAGTTGAACTAGTGGATAGCACACGACTAACATCCCATTGGTCATCAACGTTAACGATACCCATGGACTCCAGGTTCCTCACATCCTCATACAGGGGACATGAGCAGAGAACATGAAGCCAGTACTTCACTGGAGCCCCATGACTACACATTTCTGTATCTGTCACGTTTATCCTATGCAAAAATGGATTCAGAGACCCATGACCCGTCAACAAGAAGCCCAGATGGAGGCCGAAACCAAAATCGGGGTTAGTCGCAACCAGGGACTTACGCAGGGAGGCGGCCCGGGCCCCTCTAAATGATTTTTTCACAGTAAATTTATGTATGTAACAGCGAATTTGTTCATTTTGTACTACCGGCCCGCCCCAAAAATGGAATCCTGTGTCCGTTGCTGGTCGCAACAAATGTAACATCCGGGATAAACCGAAATGTTAAACGCCCATTCTCACAAGTATTCCATCTAGATTGCCATCTAGAGATTACAAACTCGTGCAGCTTCGCTTTACGTTCTAGAACACTCAATCGCTCTATACCTTCTACCGCCCAGTCATTGGGCACTATAGGCAGACCTCTTTTTGCCAGAAATGATACGTTTGCACGTAGCACTTCCAGGTCGAGCGGAGGTACACCCAACAATACCTGCATGGCTACGGTTGATACCGTGCGGCATACAGTCATGATGGCTTGTCTGCCTGTATGCCGCACGGTATCATATCTTGCGATATCCACATCCCGTTACTGCAGTATGCCATATGGGAGCACCATAACCTTAAATGGTACAAAGTCAGCATGTAAAATCGGAAAGGGCCTCTCGGAGATTTTCAATACCGAACGAGGGTTCAGCCTAGGGATTCTTAGTCGAGCGTAAAAGTGGACTTTTAGACTTTTCAATTTTTGCCAGATGGAGTCGAGATATAATGATTGGTATACTAAAAGTGGGTCTAGGACCAATAATGCACGGCGTTACAAACTCTGGGGGCCACACAAAACTATAATACCCTGACATGATAGTTGTGCAGGGTATAAATTGTAATGGTCATATTTTGAAAATTCTTCAGATATTAGGTTTTTGTTTATTTCTTAAATAAGGATCCTTAACATCGGTTAAAATTGTATCAATAAAAATATAGGGACTTAGCTTCTGCATTTATACGGAATATGGAGTCAGTCAGTCTCTCTACATGCTGATCATTATAATCCTTCCTAAGACTACACGATAAATGTTATTTATATTCGAAATTTTTTTACGTTACAATTCGAAAAATTATAAAAAAAATATTACATGTGTTAAAACTTACCACCTATTAAATATTTTTGTTTTTGAAAATTTACAACAAAATATGTTAAGGTAATATTTTCGCTGATTTACCAAATGTAAACAGACGAAGAAATCCGCAATTAATGTGTGGTTCTGAAATAAATCACTTCAATGAAAAAAAACATGTTTCTTTTCTAAACAAAAATTTCCAAAATAAACAACTTGATAATATACAGCGATTTTAATTTAAATTTAGCACCTTTTCAAAATATACTTTGCTGTAGAATGGAAGAACGAACGCAATAAAAACCGCAAACAGATAACCAAAAAATAATGTAAATTTACAAAAAATCGATTGAATAAATAATGCAATAAATTTTGAATTTAACTTAAATTATTTTGTTTAGAGCAGAAATTGTTCTCGTTGCGCTTATATTTCGGATGTGAGTATGTGTGTGTGTTTAGGACAATATGTTTACATATTTTGATTGTTGTTTTTTTTTTCATTTGCAAAATAAATCGAAGCAAGAAAAGAAAACAACTACACATCTGGGATCTTGAAAAATGACAAGTAAATGAAAAACAAAAAAGTGTAGAATAACTAAATTGAAATAATACACAATTTATTTGTTAAATATTTTTTTTTTGTTTCATAAAATACACGAACAGATGGTTACGAAGCAAACACCAGCAGAGCGAATGTATTATTTAGAAAATCCCCACTAGCGCAAAAATATATCATCGCCGTGCTAGACATTCGTTCGTTTTTTCTTTCACATTTCTACTTTTCGTATTTTCTTATTCTTTGTGTGTTTTTCTTTTTTTCAACAAAATTTTGTAGGCTATTTTTAGCTGGGATTTTCTTTCGTTTTTTTCCGAATGTTTCAAATATGAAATACAATTTTCAAAGTTATATTTCCGTTGAACTATTCATAATGACCGATATTTGTTTCAGTTTTCAGTTTTTCAGTTTTATTTCTTTTTCACTTTCAGATTTATTTTTAATTTTTATTTTATTTGATGGGTTTGTGACAATTGTGATCTGAAAAAAAAACTCACTTGACTATTTCATCCACTTATTTTCAACAATAATATTTGTCAAATGTATTAAAAAAAATTATATAAATTATGGAAAACTTAAAAAACAGCAAAAAAAATGAAAACTAAATTCTTATATGGAAAACTTTTTAAAACAGAAAACCAAAATCGTTTCGAAACTAAAACCGTAAACCGAAAATATAGGAGAAGAACAAACGAAAAATAATAAAAAACCGAAGCGCGTTTATCGGAAAATGAAAATTTTTCACTTTCAAACCCCAAAAGAAACTGAAATATGTTTTTTCGGGAGGAGACACAGACACCACAAAAATCATTGTGCGGAGAGATTTGTTGCACAAACATAAAAGAGAGAAAGGAGAAAAAGCTTTAGAAGTTCGTGGGCGATGTGAAACGGTAATGGCGGCGTAATTTTTTATTTGTTCCCAGGAGGGGGCATGTAAAGAACACCTGTTAGGTTTTTGAGGAACAGAATGGAAACTTAATACCCTTCACCACACTGTGGTACAGGGTATTATGTCTTTGTGCATATGTTTGTTACAGACAAAATGAAATGAGATAGACACATGGTTCATTTGGGAATATGCATAGAATAAATTTCTGAGTTGATTTATGCAGGTCCGCCAAAAAACAAAGTTCAAGTCCCATTTATAATCCGAAATAAATAATTTGGAACAGCTCAATTATTTGGCCTTAGGACGAACCCAGTCGATATAGTTAATTCTCGAGCCAAAACTTCTATTTTTTTATCTCGATATCCTCCAAAGGAAGAATGATTTCAACAGATGGATAAATCGACTAATTCGTCTTAGAATTCCATTCTATAAACGAAACAAATCACTTACCTATTTTAATATAAAAAGGGGGTTATATGGGGACTACCCCTAGAAGGAGGCGAATATTAATAATTATTGGTAGCGTTAT